CCCGACCCAAATTGGAAGTGGACCCCACTCAAAATATTGCCCCAAATTTACCATTTAATGCAACTTTTAACACATTTTTCCAACACTACCTATATATCACCTCTTACAAATTTAGTCAGATCATTCATTTGACAAATTTAGTCAGATCATTTCAACAACAAAGGATTAGTCAAATACTGACACAAACTCATTTAATACAAAAGTGTTACCCTACCTATAAACCATTGTGTGTGGAGCCCAGGTCGAGCAATATGCTACTCCCTCCGTCCCTAAAAATACTTCCAATTTTCCTTTTTCGTCTGTCCCAACAAGAACTTCTCTTTCCCTTTTTGGAAAAGAATTTGTGGTTCATAACAATTCTTACACATTTCTCTCTCCTCTGCACAACTCTCCGCCACACAAAACCCACTTTCTTAATCTGTGTGTCATTTGTACTATGGAAGTAAATTATGGGACGGAGGTAGTAACATTTAAGACACTTTCGTAAGTAAGTTCCGTTACAAGTTTAGGGTTAGGTTTGAAAAATTAAAATTAGGGAAAAGTCAGAAAAGATACCTGTGGTGGGGTCCATTTTCTAGAGATTTATCTTTCATTTATAACAAAGTAGGACAATATTTCAATTCCGTTATCACGAGAGGGGTCCGGCGCCTAATGCCGTTAGAAATTGCCGAAGAAAAACAATAAACAATAACTCCGATTATTAAAAGTTCCTGAAAATTAAAAGCAAATTTGTGTGAGGTGCGCTTCGTTAAGGAGAATTCCAAACCATCTTTCTCAATATGTTTATTTTTGGATCCGTATGAATTATTTTTTTAAGCAACTTCGTTGATATCATTTTTCTAATGGAGTTTCCAACGACAAGGGTGGCTGGACACAAAAAAAGAAAGATGACCTGGAGGGCGCCTTGATGAGCCGCACCTCCCAGTTTTTTTCTTTAATTTTTTCGAGCATTTTTAAAAATCAGAGTTACTGTTCATCGTTATTCCTCTGGCGATTCCTAACGATGGTTTGGCACCGGAGCCCTCATGTGATAATAAAATTTATACAAATGAGCTACTTTGTTAAGAATGAAACACAAGTCTCAATCTCTAAGCGAATCTAATCACATGTATATTTTTCGTACTTTTCCTTTAAAACAATTATGGAGGTTAATTAGTTGCTAAGTGGATTATCTAAATGTAGATTAAATTTAGTAGAATGGTAATGTGGTGTAAGGAGTGTATAGTAGTGATGTGAATTTGAAGGTTTATAGAATTATACTCCTTTCGTCCCATTTTAGTTAGTCAAACTTTGACTTTTTAAGTCAATGGTATTTAACTTTGATGGATTAATATATGGATAATTACCCTAAATAGAACTAAAAACGTTTGTATAATTCAAAATAGGACTATCATGTTTTTATTCTCAAAATAGGACTAATTATTGTTATGTTTTGATAATACCAAATTTTAAACATGCCAATATTTTCTAACCATGACAATAATTACTTCTATTTTGGGAATAAAAAATGGCAGTCATATTTTGGAATTTTCAAACTGTTTTACTCCTATTTCAGGAATTTTCACTTATTTTATATTTATATACAGAAGTATTGATAATATGAAAATAGTCTTGATAAAAAAATATCATCATAAAAGTATAAATTTATTAAACTTTGCATAAATGTAACTCCGTATTAATTACAATAATTGGTCCGAATTTACAATCTTTGATTGAAAAAGTCAAATATGCCTAACTAAGAAGGGACCGACATAGTATAATCTTTCATGGATACAATTGAAAATAACAACTGTTCAAACGGTCAAACCCGGTGACTTTTTAGATGGGGGCTGAACTTTTGTCCTAGCCGAAATGGACTAACCAGATTAGCTTTGCCAAGGATGATCTTTGATCATGTTTTTAACATAGTTCCAAAAGGTGGAATCTCCCATCCCAGAAGCCCCACACCCCGACCCGATAGTATTTTTGAGAGAATGTAAGTCGTGATAACTCAGTCGGCCCAATAATGATATGCGTTATAGAAGCATATATGAAATATATGAATGGAAGACTTAGATAAGGTCATATGGACATACTCTCTTGGATTACATATTGCTAGTAGTCCATGTAATTATGAACTGATTTCGTCATATTTATTTAATTGTTTTCCGGTGGATGATCTTAGCTAGTTTTAGTTGTGAACTTATTTGATCATATATTCCTTATTTACCTTCATTGCATACATTAAGTTTACCATTTCCCCAAGACAAAACATAAGGCTTTCTTTGCAAACACTACTCACAAGTGTTAGTGTTTTTGAACTTTTTAAAGTTTTTTTTGGGAAAAAGTGTTTAATAGTAAAAGTTAGTAGTGTTTGAGAAAAATGTGATTTTGAAAAGTCAAAGTTGGTAGTGTTTGGTAAAATAAGTGTTTTTTGTGTAATAGAAAAAGTAAAAAGTAGATTCTAACTTTTAGCTTTCAAGTATTAATTTAAGTAGAAGTTTTCACTTAAAAACACTCTTTTTAGCTTTTTTAAGCGAAAAGCTGGGAAACGCTTTTTTAGTGTTTGCAAACAAAGCCTAAGTAGTGTGACTTTTAATGAGGACATTATGGGTAATGATTTAAATCTTTTGAGTAACATATCAAAACAGCGTGACTTGTTTAAATAGACTAAAATATTAGTAGTGTATATTCTATTTCCATATTGTACATACCTCACTGTTTGGAAGAGTTAACCTTGACCCTCAAAACGGTGTGTTTGTTTTTTAGGTTTTACTCTAGGTACCGGGATTAAAACATAATATATCTGTATGACTGTATAATACGGGGTATTATAAAGCAAACCCTTGGAGAACACTTTGGATGAATCTTTGACATGTGGCAACAATATTTGTATGAAAAATGACATGTTGCAACACAATAAATTAAAGAAAAAGCTATTTAACTTCCAAACTCTACTCTTATCTATTCCAATATTATATAGGGAAAATGGAAACTAATAATCCAATTTTTTAGCGTTTTTCTTACAATAGTCACACCTTTTGATTATTCAGGAATAATCTAATTTGGAACTTCAAATTTGGAAGTATTTTACAATGTATATCAAGGATGAGATTGTGACATTGTTAAATGGTAGAGTGATTAATAGCTATATGAATGTATTTAACTAACCTCTTGAGACATAATTTGATAATGAAACTGATATCCGTATGTTATCATGCTTGGAACATGATATACTTGTACATTTTTCTCGTTTTTTTGTTGTTGAAGAATTTATAATTAGTTGTTCAAAATCAGGAGAGTAAATAAGTGCACACTTTCCCCTTTTTGTGCCGCGTTGTACGGGAAAACACTCAAAACATCATTCGAATTATTGTTAATAAAGATAGTGACGCACCGATGCCAGCGCAGAGTGTCGTAGAAGATAAGGACGATTGCTTACCATGTGAACACCGTGCATTGATCTATTCGTGTAATTTCATATATCGATCAAATCAACTTTAATTAAGTAGTCATTATAATGTGAATCAAGTCGTTTAAATCATTGATAGGATTCACATATATACTATACGTTTTGTTTAATTTACTTGGGCCTATGTTTTGGGATAAATTATAATGAGCTAAGGTATTCATGTATGCGTGTATCTTTTATTATCACTATAAAAATATAACGGGATACAAATTTGGAACAGATCTTTATCAAATATATATATATACAGGGGCGGATCTGGCATAGGAGTAGGGAGGGCCTAGGCCCCACCTCAAAAAAAAAAGAAATGGTATAATTAGAACAACATCCTATTGTAAACACAAGTTACGTTGGTGTGATGGTAGAGACATGATTGGCAATGTAGAGGTTATGTGTTCGATTCCTAGCTGGAGCATCATTTTTTTGTATTTTTCATCCAAGTCCAGGAACATGCTATCTTACACAAATCAAGTCTGAATTTTAACTTTTGAATACTAGGATGCAAAAATTAAGTAGTCCAACTAATTGGGCTAAAACCAATTAGTTCAATTGATTGAGTTTTTTGAATATTGTCCTAAAAATTAATTAGTTTAATTCATTGGGCTTTTGAATATTGACCGAAAAATTAATTAGTTGAATACATTGGATTTCGTAGGTGAAAATAAGTTTTCTTTATATAGAGTATAGATTTTAGAGTAAAAAAATCGGTTTATCTTGTTTCCGAGAAACTAACCTAAAAATTGGCACTAAACATTTGGGTAACCGATAAAACTTCGATTCGATATCTATGACTTTTAAGATAATTGTATTGTCGGTTCTGTAATATTCAATTTATTCTTTGACATTTCTATAATTTACATTTTGACTTCTAAGATATAATTATATTGTACTACATTTTGACATTTTTTTATAATATACGTTATTTAATTAAATTTTGGCCCCACCTGAACGTAAATGCTAGATCCGCCCCTGTATATATATATATGACAGGCACTCTATTTGACAAAACGTTTTTGGTAACCATTTTGGCTCGATCAAATTGTTCAAAGCAATCAACTGTTTAAACCCGGTCACTTTTTAGATGGGGGCTAACTTTTTTGTCCTAGCTGAAATGGACTAACAAGATTAGTGTTCCCAAGGATGATCTTTGATCATGTTTTTAACATAAATTGGTATTATGGTATTTTGGTATATATACTATCCAAATACGCCAAGCATATACGAAATACGGAGTATATGAATGGAAGACTTAGATAAGGTCACAAGGACATACTCTCTTGGACTACATTTTGCTAGTAGTCCATTTAATTATGAACTGATTAGGTCATATTATTTAATTGTTGTCCAGTCTGGATGGTCTTAGCTAGTTTTAGTTGTGAACTTATTTGGTCATATATTCCTTATTTACCCTCATTGCATACATTAAGTTTACCATTTCCACAAGACAAAACACAAGTAGTGTGACTTTTAATGAGGAAATTCTGGGTAATGAATTAAATATTTTGAGTAACATCAAAACAGTGTGATATTTTCATAGTGTACCTCACTGATTGGACGGGTTAACCTTGACCCCCCGAGAGGCGATTACATGCACTCATACTAATTCCATAGCCTACATGATGACACCAATAGAAATAGCTTTTGTTTTATTCAAAATACTGTATTTGTACACCATTTACAAATTCCAGTTCATATGATGAAATGTTGAAAGGAAATTTTATTCTGACAAAAGATGGGGTTTAGATTTGAAAGCAAGTGTTGCTCAAAACACCACCATACATGAATATTGAATACATTCAAACATCAGTTTGTATAAGGCCACTAATCTTCCATGCTGATTATGCATCTCAGTCCTTCCCCTCTCAGCATGTAATCAAATGCTTTGTTGATATCAGAAAACGGAACACGGTGAGTTATAAACTTCTCAACTTCAAGTGTCTGCAATGTCAAAATTTGAAGTTGTTAGGTGACCTAATGACTTTATTGTTTTCTGTTTTCTTAGTTTTGTTTTTGTTATCACTTTTCTGAAAGTAGAAACGAGAAGAAAAAAACAGAAACATGACCATGTGTTTGACAGTAGCGTTATTGTTTTCACTTTTCAGTTTTTGGGAGTATAAAAAGATACAAGATTTTGAAAATCATTGGAAGAGGGAATCTGATGTTTGATGTTTTCGAACACATTTAAAATGATTGAAAACACAATTTGTTATGACATAAAGTTACAACTATACAAATCTTTCGAGAACTGTTATTTAGTTTAGAAGTAAACAAAACCAAAATTTCTGAAAACGGAAAACATAAATAACAATATCAAACTATTAACCCACAATTGTAATCTGAAAGTATATGAAGGGTGAGGAAGAGAATAAATTCTAAGCACCTCTAGAGTTCAAGTGTCATTACCTTGTTCATGTACATTTCAACAACAGATGGCAGATCACTCCTCGGTTTATAGTTACCAAAGAATGTTCCTTTAAGAGTCCGCTCATTCAGCAAGTTTATCGGCTTCGTCATGAAAACTGCTTCCTTGTTAGGAACACCAACTAATACAGCAACACCCCACCCCTAAAAAAGGAAGAATATAATTAGCGAACAAATGCATGTGCCTTTAATTCTGGGTTTTCCCTTCAGTTTTTGTAATTCACTTGTTTTTTTGAATGAAGTAACTATTGCATGTAATAAACTGCTTCTAATTAGCAAAACTTACATCATGAACACATTCAAAGGCAGATATCATAGCACTGATATGACCAGTGCACTCCACGCTCCTATCAACACCACCATTCGTCATTTCTGTTATTACCTGTGAAGCAATGTAGGGCAAAATGGGTAAAAATCACATTAATAAGTTACGTACATGTAGGCCCACATTGGTATCATTAATAGGTTTATTCTATTTATTTTACTTGTCACAAGAATAAATAGTCTTTGAGTTACTTGTTTGGCTTATATAAATTCTACGAAACCCTTTCAACCATTTCACCCATGCCAAATGATTCTTACTAAACAGACCATAAAGAAAAGCATTAACACTTAAGAGAAACATTGAACTTTTATTAACTTCACACTTTCACAGTGAAGGGTAAGGCAGATGAAAAGTCTACCTGTTGAACTGGTCTATCATAGTCCTTGGGATTCACAAACTCATTCACTCCAAATTTCTTGGCTATGACCAAAACAGTGCAAACAAATACAAGGTTATCTGCATGGTTATGTCACTTGCCAAAAAGCAAATGCATGTAGAGGAACTAGAATATTTACCTTCCTCAAACCTTTTAGGATTAAGGTCAACACCAATAATTCTTGATGCCCCAGCAATTCGTGCACCTTCAGCAGCCTATCTCACAAAATAAGAAATTATGAAAATGGAAAAACTAATGTCCATGATGTTTATATGCAAGAGGATGAAAACTTATGATGACTATATTTTTGGAATTTCATCTCATTCTTTCTTCTCGAACCTACGCTTTTTTGAATGATTTTGTCTTAAACAAATTTAGAAACTACTTGACACTATGGGTCTGTTTGGAACCTAGAAAATACTGGGGAAAGAAATTAAGAAGGATAGTAGAAGCAATACTTGGAAAGAAAAAAATTGGGAGACAAAAAGTGGTTGAACTTCAATAAATCAACTTTATATATTTAGTTCAACTCATTGTGTGTGTGTATATATATATATATATATATATATATATATCCATTATATAAAGACTAGCAGACCTAAACACAAGTAAAATCTTAAAACCAAACAGCAATAAACTATCTTCTTTGGCATTTTCCTCTCTTTTCCTAGCATATTTAGGATTTCGAACTACATACTACTTAGCCTAAAAATTTCATGTCTAAAGAGAAAATGATGAGAAAATAATGCCTCACTGACTCAATCTTTTGGAAGAAATGATTGGAACATCCACAGAAGACAAATATATAAGTATATAACTTACAGCAAGGCCAACAGCTCCAAGACCAAATATGGCTACAGAAGATCCTTGTTTTGGCTTAGCTACATTTAAAGTTGCACCTAATCCTGAAATTTTGATAAACCATAACAGACGTTTGTGCAGGGGTGTTAATCTGAGTCCTACATTTAAAATTATGGAAGAATTGCTGTGAATACAAGTGCGAAAAACGTTTGAGTTTGGCCCAAAAGGGACAATATCATACTAATACAGAGTTAAGGTGATGTTTGTGCTCCAAATAGTTGCAAGAATCTTCTAAACAATGATTCACAATTTATATAGGATGATGAAGAAAGGGAATTTTGTTACTACCTGTGGAGATGCCACAACTTAAAATACAAACTTTGTCAAGTGGTGCCAATGGATTGATCTTAGCAAGACAGCCTGAATGCACAACCGTGTACTCGCTGAAAGTTGATGTGCCTAAGAAATGGTTTATGGGTTCTCCATTGACAGAAAATCTAGATTTTCCATCATTCAGCATGACACCTCTATCAGTGTTTATCCTCAGGAGATCACACATGTTGCTTTCAGCAGATTTACAGTGTGCACATTCCCCGCATTCACCAGTAAATACCGGAAGAACGTGGTCCCCAGCCTGGAGGTCTTCAACCCCTTCACCAACACTCTCCACAACTCTGTTTCAGATGCATCATGCGTGAAAACCAGTCAAAGTGTGAAAAAAGTTATTCTAAAACAGCAGAATTGGTTTGACTAGAGAGACAAATATTGAACTTACCCTGCTGCTTCATGACCAAATATGCGAGGAAAGAGTGGTGTTTGTCCCTGAAATTCCAACAATTTTGCGAAAATGTTAAAATTACAACCATATGAGATGAGATCTTCTATTCCAAGGCTGTGTTTCATATGGTATTCAAATGGTTAGTATAAGTAATTGTATGTACTAGGACCATAGATATAAAATCCTACCCCACAATGTGTAAAACTGACTGAGACTGTCCTCACATGTATTGAACTGATCACACTGAATTAAAGTATTAAAAAAAATGGATTGTGTCATTTTGGCAATTAAGTTTCAAACGGAGGGAGTTAGAACTAAAGTGGCAATTGAAAGGAAAATAACCTTGGCTTCCCAGAAATAGAGGTCAGTGTGACAAAGAGAGGTGTACTTGATCTTGATCCTCACCTCCATGGCCTGTGGGGGTGCAACCTCCACCCTCTGTATCACCAGAGGCTTCCCTGCTTCCCATGCAACTGCAGCTGCAAATTCCCATGCGTAGATGTATAAATTAATAAATTATATGTGTGTTGCATACATAACAGTTCATATTCATATATTCACATCACACACAACACAGACATGTTAACATTTGTGTGTAATTTTGTTTCTCAAAGGGAGCACACAAAGGGGAACACACCACCCGCATGGGCATCTCAATTGGTCACATGGTGAAAATTTGGAACAATGACTCGAGATCGAATCCCGCTAGCAGCAGCGTGGGAGCAACCTCTCAAAGTGAGGGGCTCCTTGAACGCGGTGCACTAGTTTAGCTTTTGTGTTAAGCTGAGTTACCATGATTAACTACCCCTATGCTCTGTTGGGCATGGGGCCCTTGGAGTTAGAGATTCAACCTTTTTGTGGAACAACAAAGGGTAACACACCAGGACAGAACTAGGGGTTGAGGGGCAGTCGATTGCCCGAAATTTTACAACAATATACAATAGGTATTTATATTTGTGTGTATTATCCTAATTTGGGACAGTTTTGAGCCCTCTGTCCCCTATTACTAAGTGGACGGTGGAAATACAGTGCTTATTTTATTCTATAAAGAGTTACTCTGTCTGTTTTATTAATATCCATATGTATGTTCTTGACTAGATATGACGGTTATTAATCATAAATGAGGCATATGCTTTACAAATTTTGTTGATATTTAACTAAACTTAAACCTATTAGACATGTTTTATTCTTTTTCAAGCAAATTTTGTAAAACATCATATATCAAATTTAACAAAAAGCTATACTTTTCTACAAAATAGCCCTTTTCAAATATAATTGTTTTTATAAGATGAAGAGATGGTTAGTTATTTTTACTTGTAAAAGTGGGTTTTAGTTCATGTAACTTACGGAGTATATCTTAGGGATTTTATTTTAAAATATACTCCGTATATGTTCTGAAATTGTTCTTATCTGTGATAGGTCATAGGTATGCAAAAAAATCTCTCCGCTCTCAAGAGAATTTCTGGCTCCGAAACACACATCTCAGAGCCTGATCGAGTAATTACCCCTGGTCTTATATACGCATGATAAACATAAAAACTATAGAAGCACCCAACACTGTAATAAAAGTCTACAAATCCAGGAAGCTTAAATTGTATCAGAAACTGTCGATGTGAAACAATAAGTTACAGAGAAGAAGGGATTCGGACAGAGGTGAAGATTACGTACCGTTGCATGGAATAACAAGGCCAGCAGTGTTGGACATTGTTGACAACCCTAGCTTGTTCCGTGCGTTGTTCGGATCAATAGCAATTTGGGATCGTACGATTTATGAAGCTATTTAAGTTCTAGAGATCCCTCCTGCAACTTTTATATAAGTGCATACTTTCCAAGAAGGAAAAATGTGTATATACTTCTTCAGTCCGTCGTCAACATAGAAAATGATATCAAATGGAGAACGTTTCAATTACGCCCATCGATTGTGGCTCAAAACAATGGAGAGTTCTAATCCATTGGCCAATGGCCATCGCCGCATTGCCATTATTAATCTGCTTCGCGTTCTGGAATTTTTTAGCTTCATTGACCAACACTATCTTTCGCACGCTTTCACATAAACGGTCAACAACTTATCTGATAACAGGGTTCTAAAAAACTTTTTCATTTTAATTTAAAATAAAAAATATATGAATTTCTCTTTTTCCTACCTAAATTTCTCTTTTATTATTTTATGTGCAATGACCAAAAGATTCATATTCGATCAAATTAAACATTTAGCTATTTGAATTAAAAAGATTCATATTTTCCAAAAAAAAAAGATTCATATGATAAAGGATATTTAATAAAAATATGATAAAGGATATTTAACTATTTGAATCAATTTGACTCAAATTCTTCCACATCGTTCGATTCATGTACAATGTATTAATATTATTTGATTAATTAATTATTTCTATGATTAGTTATCCATTTAACCATTTGCTACAAAATATATACGGAGTATATATTATGTAGTATAAAAATACCAAAATAGTACTACAACATCTTTGTGTTGTTGCAATAACGCTTTGAATTACTACCTCCATAACAGATATAAATTATTGAAGATATGATGGGAAATAATGAAATAGTGTGCTGGAATGAAGGATAAATCCAAAAAAAGTAATTGTAATAGTGTATTATTTTTAAAATTATTGAGGTTATGATTGAAAGATTTAAAAATGGGAATATAAGAATGTTACAGCTAAAAAGGGAAAGTGGGAATATGATTCTCAGGGAGGGAGTATATGTTTACGAACGTTGTACTTTGGCTCGTAATACAACTTCCTTCCTTTATTACTTTTGTCTAAGGTTTTTCATGAAGATTAAGAAAAGTACTATGAGAACATAATTAAAGTAGAATAATTGTGCAAGAGGAAGCAAAAACTTGCAAAAGTAAGAAAGGTGAGAAGAAAAAGTAAAACGGAAAAGTACGAAAAAGGTACATGTGGTTGAGTCCCTTTTCAAATAAGATCATGTGTTCATTTTTTTTATCAAAGCGGTTCATGTGTTTGAACTTTGTTATCACAAGAAGATCACGCTGTTAAAAACGTCTGAGGAAGAAGGTGAACAGTAACTCCAATTTTCAAAAGTGCTCAGAAAATTAAAAGAAAAACATTGGAAGGTGCCTCGTGAGGATGACCTCCAAACCACCTTCGTCTTTGAACTTTTCGGATCTGTTTGGATTATATTTTAAAAAGGGAAAACTATCAAATAAGCCCTAGCTCGTACTATACCAAAAAAGGCGATTAGGCCCTCGTACCCTTATAAACACTCAATTAAGTCCTCAAACTATTAAAAACCGTTCAATTAAGCCCTTCGGTCGGTAAGTAACCGGTTTCCCGGTTAAACGGTGACGACGACGGCGATGTGCTCGAACCCCCGCAACGGCTTCTGCCGGGAAACGGGTTACATTTGACCGGGCAATCGGTTACTTACCGACCGAAAGGGCTTAATTGAACGTATTTTAATAGTTCGAGGGCTTAATTGAGTGTTTGTAAAGTACGAGGGTCTAATCGACTTTTTCGGTATAGTATGGGGGCTTATTTGATAGTTTTCCCTTTTAAAAATGAATTCGCTAATATCTTTTTCCCAGTGGACTTTCCGGTGACAAGGGTGGATGGAAACAAAAAAGAAAGATGGTGTAGCGGTCGTCTTGTTAAGGCACACCTTCCGACATTTTTCTTTTAATTTTCTGGGCACTTTTAAAAGTCAAACTTACTGATCATCGTCTTCCTCGGTTATTTCTAACGACGTCAGGCGACAGGGCCTTCTTGTGATAACGGGGTTCAACAACATGATCCACTTTAATAAAAAATGAAACACATGACCCTATCTGGAAACGATCTCAATCACAAATACATTTTTCGTACTTTTCCCAAAGTAAAATAGTACAAAAAAGAGAAGAATAAAAGTGAAAAAGTAAAAAGTGGGAGACAAAAGATAGAGTTAAGTTTTCAAATATGATACTAAGAAGAAGTATACAAATCATAAACAACTTTCTCCAAAATGAATGACTACTTGGAAAACAAGGGGGTGGGGTATTTGATAGGATATTACTAAAAGTTATATAAATATAATTTAAATTTGTAGTTTGAGATCAGTTTATGGTATTTTTGTAATATACCACACTTGTCTCATTATGATTAAGAAGAGAGGAAGTGACACGATTATTAAGAAACACGTAATATAAAATTATGTTATTGATTTTGAATTTGTAAAGTATAAATCAAATCAAAATTATTTGAAATTATATAAATGTTGTCAATCATGATATTAGATAAATTTAGTGTCATGATATAAATGATACTCCCTTCATATTTTAATGTTCACTACATTAGGTTGGACACATTATTTAAGGCGTAAAGTAGTAGGGGTAGTAAATAGTGTAGAAAAAGTAGAAGAAAATGTGTAAAATTATGAAAAAGAAGATAAAAAATAGATAAAATAAGGGTAGTTGAGTATTTTATAAAGGGTAAACTTACCAAAAATGAAAGTGTAAGAAACTTTTAAATACGGAGGGAAGTATCAACCATGAGGAATTAAACTTTTAAAACTTTAAAACTTTTAAAGGGTAAACTTCATTTATTTTTTTCTAATTCAATCGTAATTAAAAATATCACATTATTTACACTTTATTATTGAGCATATGAAATCAAAGTAGATATTCTTTTTTGGGAGGAAGCTAAGGGAGTGCAGAAGATTATTTTTAAAGCTCATCTCGTACCTAAAGCCCTAAGATCATCTCAATGCTCTTAGTCCAAAACGGATGGTCCATTGTATGAGACCTCCAATGCGCAACAATGAAGTCCAATACCAAACAAAAAGAAAATACCAGAAATATATAAAGAGACAAGCAAACGTATGACATTCCATAAATATAGGTCCTTGCTTGTGAGAAGGTTGCAAGGAAGGTCTATATATGAACCTTGTGCTGGACTATGTTCCATATTACAAATGTCACATCGTTTAACCATGTCCATTTCTTTTTTGCATTGGAGTAGATATTCTTTTTTGGGAGGAAGTTAAGGGGGAGTGCAGAAGATTATTTTTAAAGCTCATCTCGTACCTAAAAGCCCTAAGATCATCTCAATGCTCTTAGTCCATTGTAGGTGCAGTGGCAAAAAATTGATCAAGATCTATTTAGAAAGGTTGATCCACCATTCACAAAAAAGGATGGTGCATTGAATGAGACCTCCGATGCGCAACAATGAAGTCCAATACCAAACAAAAAGAAAATATTAGGAAATAAAGAGACAAGCAAACGTATGACATTCCATAAATATAGGCCCTTGCTTGTGAGAAGGTTGCAAGGAAAGTCTATGTATGAACCTTATGCTGGACTATGTTCCATATTACAAATATCATATCAGTTTAATCATGTCCATTTCTTTTTTGCATTGGAGTAGATGATTCTTTTTGTGGTGTGTATTTGGTCAAATCCATGGATGTGTACTAGGGTAGTACTACGTATATTATAATTATGAAACCATTCCGGGTGGATTTCCGAGAGGTCAAACTGGTATAAGCTAAGCCTGGAAAGATTAATCTTTCTAGCAGCAATTTCTCTGAGGTTTTGAAATATTTTGGGAAGCCAAAGTTTGATATGGAAATCTTTGTGGGAAACATGAAGCTGCGCCGGCCACCATTGAAAAACCTTATAGGCTTATAGAGGAAGAAGCTCTGAATTGACTAGTACTGTAATAGCTGGTGTTGTAATTGGGTTGATGACAAGGGCAGTATTGTTAGAGTATCATTACTGCTTACCTTCCTTCAGAGGAAGAAGAAGTTTAGGAGAGGGAAACTGATTTTCTATGCAGGAGAAGAGGGTCAGGGTTTGACACAGGAAGAAGGGTTCCCAGGAAGAAGTGTAGGAAAAGAGTTACTTATGGGACTGTTTATGTATAAGGTATTAAGGCATAGTTAGCTCGAGGGGATTGAGAATCTAATTCCTCTTAACTACAGCATCCTGTCAAGGACAGGGAGGAGAAAAGCTTCTCATTTATGTCCATCTTTCTTAAGAAACCCCTCATGAGATCTTGCATGGTATGTATATTTTCTAAAGTATTAGGCTATATGCTTTTAGGTGTTTTACAATATTTGCCCTTAATTTGTGTTTTAGGCATCATTGTTGTAACACACATCTCCTTCACTCCTTGTGCATATTTGTGACAACATAAGTTGGTTAAAGACATTACTCCAGAGAAGAACAAAAGGGAAGTGAGCTCATTGTGTTAGATTGTTAGGCTACTGGGCTGTAAATGAACTTCTCTAATTGCTACTATTCCTACATTAAAATCCTAATTCAAAATTAAATAGTGGTAGAAGTTAAATAGAAAATAACTTCATAACAGGCTGTAAATCTATAATAACGTTTTGGAAACAGAGGGACCGGTGTACCTTATATAAGCTTACATTTACAGAAAGAAACAGAAAAACATGCTTATGAAGTAAATTTTACACAATAATGAATTAAATTGTATATAAAAAGTTCATTTTCAAGAAAAATAAACATGTATAGAAAATTGAACTTATGTTTCCTTTCCGTGCTTCTTTCAACACTCTGCATCCATTGAACTTTGACTGAAACGCGGACAGAGTGAGGAAGGCTGGAAGGAGATAGATCCTTTCCCCATCATCCGAGAAGAAAATATCAGGATGTGTATGGTATGGACCTCAGGGTAAGCTGCCACAGGTGTCCCTCTCATATTTCTAGTTGAAGAGATTTTGGAAAAATAACCCCTAAATTTTACTTACTATAAAGAATCAAATTTGATCCGGTTAATTCTAGTCCTAACATGGTTTGATTATATGATAGTGATGATGATGATGGTGGTGGTGGTGGTGGTGGTGGTGGTGGTGGTGGTGGTGGTGGTGTGTATATTAAGTAGTAGTATAACTTTAACATTGGCTGCCAACACGACAAGATAAGACACCAGCATCAGATGTAAGAGCGCCGACTAGGGTAGAAGGTTTGGCTGCCAAGCTGGAGGCCTTGGCGTAGCTACTCATGCCCGCGCTTCCAGATGGAATGAAATAAG